TAACTATTAGGGCCTGCTTAGCCAGAGCAACTCCATATTGCCTAGGTAGCCATATTGTTGTTTACATCCACGGACTTCATTCCGGGAATAAACGCCCCTGTAATTCCTGGTATGGTTCCAGGTATCGATTCCGGGAGTAAATGCCTTAACAATAGAAGCCACGTACCTTGGGTCTGCGGGTATGCCCTATAATACCAGCCTGTGAGATCGGGAGGGGGTCACTCTCTTTGGAGGCGGCCCTGGCCGGTCAGTCTGACTTCTAATGCTTGGCATAGAATAAAGCTTCACATAACTTTCACTTTGTCTCAGTCTCATTCCCCTGGCCAGTCAGTCTAACTTCTAATGCTTGGCATAGAATAAGGCTTTGCATAACTTTTACTTTGTCTCAGTCTCGTTCCTTTGATAACCTACCCCAACACCATTCCCCTTGCCTGTGTTCCCTCTCTCACTCATTCTTTCTCTCTCTCAGTCAAATAAATAAATAATCTTTAAGGAAAAAAAGAGAAATAGAATAAAATAAACAAACAAAGAGAGAAAGGGAGAAGCAGATGGATCCCGTCTGACATCCTTATTTACAATCTCGCCTGACCTCCAAATTCTCCTGTTTTCAGATGGATGCCTTCTTTTCTTCCGTGTTTTCACTGTGCAAAAGATGTCTCTCTTCTGCCTTGTGTGACAAGTTAAAAAAAAAAAGTCTCTAGGATTTCATGTCCCACGTAGATATTCTGTCTCTCTGATGCAGCCCAGCTGACTTAACAGAAGTGAATGATACGGTTGGTCAACCACCAAGTAACAGACATGTCCCCTAACGTTTAACCTTGGCTGTTTTCCAATCTCCCCCAATCTCCCTCTTGGGGAACAACACTAAATTGTTTCTAAAGGGTCAGGGTATGGCTTCTTGAGGGCAGGGGGAAATTCTCAGCCATGGTTGTCTCTCCATGACACGCCCACTGCTTCTTACACAGATGTACACCTCACAGCATTTAAGCGGTGAACCACATTGACATGAGCAAACAGGACGCATCTCCCTAGGTAGACCTACTGAGCTTATTCTGGTCTCCAAAGAAGTCCCTCTCAGCCCAGACTACCCAGACTACCCTCGCCAAGAGGGCTTGTCTGATAGTAGCAATGAAGCCGAGTTGTCAATTCCATGAAAACAAGCAGTAAAACAGACTCCGGGCCCATCAGTGAGTTTAGGCTCACCTGAGCCTTCTGCTCTTCTTGGTTCTTTATCTGTGAACACCCGTTTATTCTTGCCCAAGCACCGGGAGTCAGCTGTCACCCTTCTTTGCCACCCACCTTGTAAAGGGAGATGTGGACACTTTGCCTTTGAGTCTCCCGAGCCTGGCTGGGGAAGAATGTTGAGAGCAATGGAGGGCTACTTCCCTTGATTTTTTTTTTTTAATAATTTTTTAAATTTTCTTATAAACATATAATATATTATTAGCCCCAGGGATACAGGTCTGTGAATCGCCAGGTTTACACAATTCACAGCACTCACCATAGCACATACCCTCCCCAATGTCCATCACCCACCACCCTCCCCTTACCACCCTCCCCCCGGCAACCCTCAGTTTGTTTTGTGAGATTAAGAGTCTCTTATGGTTTGTCTCCCTCCCAATCCCATCTTGTTTCATTTATTCTTTTCCTACCCCCAAACTCCCCACGTTGCATCTCCACTTCCTCATATCAGGGAGATCATATGATAGTTGTCTTTCTCCAATTGACTTATTTCACTAAGCATGATACCCTCCACGTCATTGCAAATAGCAAGATTTCATTTCTTTTGATGGCTGCATAGTATTCCATTGTATATATGTATACCACCTCTTCTTTATCCATTCATCTGTTGATGGACATCTAGGTTCTTTCCATAGTTTGGCGATTGTGGACATTGCTGCTATAAACATTCGGGTGCACGTGCCCCTTCGGATCACTACGTTTGTATCTTTAGGGTAAATACCCAGTAGTGCGATTGCTGGATCATAGGGTAGCTCTATTTTCAACTTTTTGAGGAACCTCCATGCTGTTTTCCAGAGTGGTTGCACCAGCTTGCACCTTGATTTATTAGAACTAGGGTTTATTAGAACACTTGACCCTCTGGAAACCACGTTGTCTGTTGGTGCAATAAGTAGGCAGTAGACCTAGACTCGTTCTCTCCCCAAAGAGCAATTTTGCTAATACCAGCAAAGGGTAAACTTGAGCCCTTACTTGTAGGAGGAATGGCGTGGTGCCTGGAACATTGTAGACACCTGATAAAAAGCCACTGAATGTTTAACTAAGGATGGATGGTGTCCAGACTAAAAACGGGTAGTGGGTTGGCACCCATTCGATCCTGCCTTTCTCCTGGACGTGGTCACTGAGATTTCACCGTCGTTTCCCTAACTCACTGGCAAGGGCTCAGACTCTATCTTGCTTCCTTAAATACCCACAGGGCCTGACCCAGTGCTCTGCACATAGCAGATCTGAGCAGTTAATCCTCCTGTTGTGTTTACTAGGTGCTAGTATTATTCTAAGAACGTCACGCATCCTAATGAACTCAGTCCTCCCTTGAAGTAGGCAGGATTATTCTCTCATCTTACAGATGAGAACTCTGAGGCATGAGAGACAGGGGACTCACCCAAGGTCAAGTTGAGGAACTAGGGTTTCTAGTCAGGTACTCTGGTTCCAGAATTCATGCTCTCAATCCCCAACTATATAAATATCACTAAAAAGGTCTATTTGAGATCTATCTATCTATCTTTCTATATATACTCATATGATATTCTTTCTCTCAAAGAAACCTATAGCTAAAAACCTATAGCTACACATATATACACACATATACGTCTGAGGGTTTTCTACGTGCTGACCACTGTTTTGAATGTCGGGGGAGGTAGATAGAATAGTCCTTGCCATAGAGAAGTAATTTACAATCTTTAAGAGGGGAAGAGATGTATAAATAATTTCAGTACTCAAGACTTAAAATCCACCTGGGTCTGTTTCAGAGCAAAGCTAGATGAAAATGAGACACCGTGGTCCTGTTTCTTGATCTCAGGGGCAGTTACATGGCTGTTTTCACTGTCTGAAAATTCACTAAGCTGTACACTTAGGGTTTGTGTATACTTAGCGTTATGTATGTTACACTTTAATAAAAGTGACATTTAAAACATTTCAAAGGAAGAAAAGTGCCTTGGGAGCTCAGACAATGTAGCAAAGAGTCCTTTTGGGCTGGAACCTCAAGGGCCAGTGACCTTGTGTCCTGTCCTGGCGTCTAACTGATCACTGTTCCCCTTCCAAGGAGGCACCTGTATGATCAGATAACACCAGCTTCTCTCACACAGCTCCAAAAAACTCATTTCTTCCTTGGCACCTTCAGCCACATTCCGCACAGACATGTTTGGTTTTGCTTTGGTTTTTAAAAGAGAAGGGATGGTCTCTGTGAACATTTGTGGCACGTTTCCTTCTCTCCAGGACCAGACTCTGACTTGATATTGTGACAGGGACACAGGCTCTACCTATTTACATACAAAGAAGTGACAAACCATAAAAAAGAACCCACATACTGTGGAGGGCAGAACCCACAGTGTACAGACCTCTCTGCTCCAGGTGAAGAAATGGCCCAGTGGACCTCAGCATGCCTCTCTGAGTTGGGCTTATTCTGGCAAAATTCCAGTTTACCTCTTCAAATATGCTTGGTTCAGTACAACACAAAATGCCCCGGAACCATCATTTGTTAGATGGCTACTTGACTAGAGCCCCAAACATGAAGAAGTTAGCTGATTTCCCATTATTCTGTGACAGTATAAATACCATTTAACATAATCAGATTCAGTGATTTTATTCGAAACATTCAGGGAGTTTGTGTCCCCCCTCCCCCCCAGAAATGATGTGTTTCCTAAAAAGACAAATACTTAAAAAAAAAATGAATCTAAGTTAAGACATATTTAGGTTTGTTATAATTTGGCAGTTTATCATTTTTTTTTTCAAAAACCCAAATTATGTGTCTAACAGCCTGTGGCCTCAGTAATATGTTAGCTTAAAAATACATGAGAGACTATGGACTCTGAAAAACAATCTGAGGGGTTTGAAGGGGCGGAGGGTGGGAGGTTGGGGGATCCAGGTGGTGGGTATTAGAGAGGGCACCGATTACATGGAGCACTGGGTGTGGTGCAAAAACAATGAATACTGTTACACTGAAAATAAATTTAAAAAATTTAAAAAATACAAGATAAATTTATATAATATTGTAACTGAACACATCAGGAAACATGCAGAACCCCACTGCTTCAAACAAAACTTGCACGTTTAGCAATGTTTATTTTTAGAAACAAAAGTGCCTGGTAATTTAAGCACAACAATTCCAACATTTGTTCTACTTAATTGCGATAAGATGTCATTCCATTTGACTGTTCTCATTTTGTTGTATCATTTGATTATCCTTCCAAGTGGATTCTACTCTAGGTGGAAATTAGGAAATTGCAAAAAAAAAAACATATTTAAAGTAACACAAAACCAATTCTTTACATTGAAATTTGTGCCTTCTTCATTAAAATAAAAGAGAAAGTATGGGATAGTCACACATACTATCAATTTGTGTGTGCTCCTTAAGGGAAAAATTTTCTGGACTCCTCTGTCAACAAACTTGTGGGTAACACTCTTCTCACCCTTTGTAGTTAGAACCTTGCTTTCCCCTTTCTTCAGATTCTCTTACCCTTAGGGTTCACATGTTCCCTCTTTATTGGTTACCCTTATTAAACACACTGTCAGAAAAGCTTGAGGTGCTCATTTATACTACAGTGTCAATGGTTGATACATTCTGTAAGTGCAATCTTACTTGAAGATGCTGGCATTTTACCAAGAATCAGTACCTGAAGCTAAAGCTGTTTAATAAAGGGTAAGATGGTGGGTAGAAGGTTTACCTGGACCACAGCCTTCTGAAGTCCACCCCTGAGATGTTTACTGTGGACCTCAGTGCCTGGTTTGCCTGCCTGTGCGGATCTGGTAGCCACAAGCACTGCCTAGCACATGGACACTTTGCCTGGGGCACTGGGCAGCAGGTGCGCAGAGTCACTCACAAGGGCACGCCCAGCAGGGCTGGGAGCAGCTTCTGTTTCCCGAACACTTTCCGAAGCCTTGGGTTCCGGGAAGTTGTGTTGAGAGTGCCGACTGTCCTTCTGTACCCTCTGCTTCTCTATGAACTCCAGGCGGGCTGCTGTGTATCTGTTCATGGCCATGACCGACACAGCCATGCAGAGGGCAAAGGAACCCCACGTGAGGCTGTCAACAAAAGCCACAGTTAAGAAGTAGTATAGGGCTATGGTACCAGAGCTTCCTGCTGGGGGTCAGTCTGGTGAAAAACCATCTCCTCGTCCCACTCGATTTGGACCTGGACTTTGGATCACAAGTTTCAGAGACCAACCAATAGTGTTGTTGTAGCCCAGTGGTTAAGAGAACGACTCTGGAGTCACTGTGCAAAGCTCACACTGTGGATTTGCACCTATCTCTTATGAGCTGTGCGTTCTTGAGCTGGGGGCTTCATCTCTGTGTATCAGGTTCTCATCTGCAAAACTTGACTAATAGTAACCCCACAGGTAGGGTGGTTGTGAGGATATTAATGAACTAATGCTGGGAAATACTGGGAAGTACTGTATCCGCCAACATACAGTGTTGCTTTTTGTTGTGGTGGTAGTTGGCTCTAACCCAAGACAGGACATTAGTGTTGTTACTTTCTATCCCTACCCCCCAGAAGCCTGTTGCATTCTGAGATGATGGTCTACACTTCTCACCTTCCACAGAACCCAGCAGAACGTTTGCTGAGAAAGAACCTCTGCCAACTGGCATTTGTGTGTTTTCAGGGGGTGAAATTCCCAGGTAGAATAGAGTCTCCTTATCCAATGACCTACAAAGAAACCTACCCATAACTGAGTTCCAGACCCACTCCAGAGTTTTCAATCATCCTTAAATATGACTTGACATCAAGAATACCAACATCTAGGGGAACGGTCCAACAGTAAACAGAAAAAAAAAGGGGGGGTGGGGAGAATCTAAAGAAAAGAGATAAGGAACAGAAGAAAATAGCAACCAGCAGAAAACCCTTTGATCACTATCTATAGAGAGATACGAGAAGACACTGCATGAACAAGGCAAGATCAAGATATAGGAAAAAAGAACAACCAGAAAAGAAGAAAAACCTTTTAGACATTCAAGTAAGATCCAAAGTAAGAATTCAATAGGAAGGTTGGATGACAAAGAGAGGAAATTTTTCAGGAAGGATTACAAAAAGAAGGAGCTAGAAAATATGAGGGATACAATGACATCTAGACGATTAATCTGAGTTTTGATATCTAACTAACAAAAGGTTTCTAAAAAGAGAACAGAATGCTAAGGAATGGAAAGAATCAATGGAATAATACCAGAAAATCTCCCAGAATCCTAGGACATGCATATTTAGTTTGAAGTTCTGACCCATCAAGCACAGGAAAGAAGAATGAATGAGTGAATGAAAGGAGATTTCTCCACCAAGGTATATTATCCTAACATTTCTGAACACCAGTAATAAAGGGTAGAAAACACCAGCTTATCTGTAACAGAACATGAATCAAAATACTATGGAACTCTTCCCAGAAGCAATAAGTTCTAGAAGGAAATGGAACCACATCTTCACATTTTTCAGGGAAAATGATTTTCAACAAAGAGTTCTATACTCTGCCAAACTATCAAACGCATATGGAGCACCGAATAAGTACCTTTCCAAACATGTAAGAAATAAAATAATTTCTCCATCATTGAACCTTTTCATAGAGAGCTACTAGGGGATGTGCTCCCATAAAATGTGAATGCAAACTAAGTAAGATAATGATATGGGGCCTGGGAAACAGCTCTTCAAGACAAAGGAGTAGCAAAGGGAAGTGTCATATGGCATGCCTCAGAACAGCCACCCCAAGTAGAGAGGAAGATGGGGGGTTTTGATGGGGCTGGAAGAATGGGAGAGACAGAACTGAGAGATTGCTATGTTTATGCTGTTTGACTTTTTTAAAGGTTTTATTTTTAAGCAATCTCTGCACCTAAGGTGGGGTTCGAATTCACAACCCTGAGATCAAGAGTTGCATGCTCTACCAATTGAGCCATCCAGGTGCCCCTGTGTAATACTATTTGATTTTTTAAAACTATTTGCCTCGATTTCTTTGATTAAGAGTTAAGATATTACAAGTAACTGGAAATGAAACAAAATGATATAGGAAACAGACCATCCTACAGATTCCTTTGATGCTTGAGATCTACTTCAGCCCATAGCATAAATCGGCTATAGTTGTGGGCCAACCTGACATTGATCTGAGCTCTAGTGCAGCAGGGTTCCTCACTGTGTGCAGCACCAATGACGTCACCTCAGACACACTGACACCTGTTTGGAAGGAGGAACTGAAGTGGCACACAGTGGAGGGAATGGTGTGATGCTACAAAGAAATGTTTGTAAAAAAAAAAAATAATAGCTTCTTCAGGCTGGAACACAAACTAAGACGAATACAAAATCTAATACATCATACAGGTAACAGTGTCACAGGCGTGTTCACCAAACCCTAGAGTGGTAGGATGAGGGAATAAACCAAGAATGTGTTATTTGTTTTACAAAGAGAAAAGTAACGTAAGAGATTGTTATACAGGATGAAAATGTACGTGTGTGTGTGTGTGTGTGTGTGTGTGTGTGTGTGTGTATAAAGCCACAGCTGTACTTTGGAAACCCATATCAAAAAGGACCCCTGTGATCTTCAATGGTATGGCTGAGTCTTCCCATTAAGAGACAGAACTTTTATGTCCTGGCTTTCTCTGTGCATTAGAAACTGGGGCCAGATCTCCCATCACCGAAGTATTTACTAGGCATTATTACTCAGGACTTTCCCCCTAAGCCGTGTTTAAGAAAGCAATAACATCAGTGTCTCTGTTGCCTTAAGGCCTTGACTCTGGGTCAAAGATTTCACAAACCTAATCTCTTTAAATGCCTATGAACACATAAGACAGGTATAATCCCTTCACAGGGGAGACAGCAGGGCTACAGGATGGTTAAGAAAGTCATCCAAAGTCAGATGGCGGAACGATGGCCAAGGTCGGTAGTCCCACAAATTTACCTGTGTGCATCCCCACCAGCCCATCAGGACCTGAGCACCATGGCCAGAACTCACCAGTAGGACCAGCTGTAGTCCCACGTCTGAGGCTTCCAATCGTCTGGTCCGAGGTTCACCGTGATTTGAAAAATGGTTGTGTACATAATGTGGGCCACCATACTGAGGAGCCCTGCATAAGGAGAGCTCTGTGAGCCTGAGTTAGGAACAGAGTTTCTCTACCGTATGTGAGTTGGATGAAAGAAAGCCAGTAGCATCCTCCTTGATTCCTTTCAAGCCTCCTTCATGTTGCACGCACACACTACTAATTCCTTATTGTCATGAATTCACACAGTGGCCATGTCATTCCTCCCATGACCAACTCTCCCCAGTCTATCATGCCCCTGTCTCCCTATGCTCAGAGGCACCGATGTTCCATTCTCTCTTTCCCAGCACAGAAGAGGGGTCCTTGAGCTACATTGGGTCTGAATCCACATTCAGTGTTTCGTCATGTTATTCTCTTCCATGTGGATGATTTGCTAATGCTTCAACACTGGGATACTATGAAAAAAAAAAAAACCCCAAGTATGTTCTGGCCACACTAGACTCATGTGGTAGTAATCAGGAGGAACAGAAATCAGCTGCCAATGGGCTTTTCTTTCCTTTGTGTCTTGGCCTTTTTGTCTGGAGACCCCCTGAAGACTTTATTCCCCCATAGGTTTGGTAGGATATGTTGACGATCTGAACGCACATGTCTATTTTTCCAGATACTTGGAGTCTGGTCTTCTGTTCAAGAAAGCTTTCTTGAATTTTACTTTTAAACCCTAGTGTTTCGTTGTTTTGTCTTTCTTCTGCGGGGACTCTAATTCCACATACGGTGTTACAATTTAATAAATGTATGGCAAACGGTGGCCAGTTAGAGATCATCTTCAGGGGCCCAAACAGAAATAGATTTAATTGGTGGGGGTGATTACTTATGTTAATAGGGCTGGCTAAAGTCCTTGTGATGTGAATCCTCAAACATTCTATCTGACATTGTGCTTACAGTCAAAGTGAAACAGACACCCAGAAAGAAGACTATTCTCATGATGTTGGGGTCCCTTGGGAATTTCAGGACCTGGGGAAGAGTCTTCAAGAGTCCACGGCCTGCCTCTCTGCTATGAAGATCCAGAAACTGGATTTTATCATCCTATTCACTAACGATAAGGCTTGGGAAAGACACCTGACACTCACCAAACACAGAAGTGAGTTCCCCACTGGACTGATACACTATTAACAGAGCTTATCAGGACAGAGAAGGGAAGGAAATCATTTGTTCGGGGTTCTTTCTTGATGGAAAGGCCAACTCAGGAGACCAAATGAAGTTGCTCTAAAAGTTGCTTGGAGGACAGAGAGGACCCCCACCCTCCAAAAAGGGAGTTTTTCACTCTTATAGGTGCACCAAACTTGGATGATGATTTTTAGCAAGTGACCATTTCTTGCATTCTTACTACATACTAGGTGCATTCTTACCCAGTCATCACCATAGTCTTTTGAGAGAGCTGGCTCAGAGAAGTTGAGTGACTTGCCTGGGGTCACACAGCCACTAGGTCGCAGAAATCTGAACCCAGTCAGGATTTCATGCATAACCACCTGACTAAATTAGGCAATTTCTGTTCTCAGAGCCAATATATCTTCTTCCCAGAGTTGTGATAAAGAGGCAGTTAAGACATCTTATTCTCTATCCCCTATGCCTACCCCCTTTCTTTTCATCAGCCACCCAAAGCATCATTGCTTTCCCCGCAATGGGGTTAACTCAGTGACTTCTCTGGCAGACCAGCCCGCTGTTCTGCTGAACTGCCCATCAACAGAAAACTGCCCTGCACTTTGGCTGAAGCTCTGTCCCTCCCTCTGTCCCTCTGTCCCTCTGGCCCTCTGTCCCTCCCACTGGGGCAGGCTGTGGGGAGTCAGCCTGTCTGACTACTGCTGCGGGCAAGTACCTGCCAGCACCGTGAGAATGGCCACAGATGCGTCCACCTTGAGCCGGTGGAACCCAGAGCTATGATAACTCACTCTGGACCCCAGGAGGATGGCACTTGTGAACAACAGAAGGATATTCAGGATCTCGGCCCCAATGGACAACCACAGAACACCTGCAAAAAGGTGAGGACGACAGAGATGCTGAGTGCTGAAAATTCAGAAGTACCGCCATGTGCAGCCCTTTGGTTTAGTTCACTTCTGAAATAAAAAATAAAAAACAGACGCCAAGGAGTTAAAAAAAAAAAAAAAAAAAACTCAACCCCACAGCCATGTCTGTTGAATCTGGAAAGTTGGCAGTGATAGAGGACTCCTTGGGGTTGAAGGAGGATTGTGTAAATATTGTCCTCTGCTGGGAGGGAAGAAAAATAGAGTAAGGGTCTGATGAGAAGACCCGAGAGATGCTGGGGTCTTTATTCCCCAGCTCAAAAGCTAATGCGTTGTTTGATTTCACCAGAAGACATTACCTTTGTCTTTTAAAGAAGATACACACACTTAAACAAGAAGGTAGAGACATCGGAGAGTAAGAGCTCTGGTTAGAGATCCCCAAACCTTATTTGTTTTGATGTGAGCCAACTGTCTGCCCTCTGGAGGGGACCCCGCCTGCGGCTCCAAGGAACTGTGTTGGAGGTGGAGGCCAGTGGATCGCGGGAGGGGACAGGGTGGCAAGCTCATGTTCCTGGAAGTCCCCCAGAAGAGCCCGCTAGGTGCTGGGGACCCAGGAAGGGATGAAACGGGTGTGATTCATGCCTTCACAAAACCTTTATTCCAGCTGGGGAAACAGATACTGAGAAAGTCATTGTGAATGTGATGAGTGTTATAGAGACAAAGTGCTCGAGACAGTGGTGGTCAGAGCTCATCTCTTCCCAGCCCCGTGTCTACCACACATTGGTGGTTTGCAGTGAAACACAGTAGGAGTGTTCATACTGTGGGAAACAGCAAACACTACCTGTTGGGGCTTCCCGTCCCTCCCTGCGGGCAAAATTGGAAGTTGGACATTTTCCAGCACCATTGACTATAGGGCACGCGGAGAGAGCCTGCCGTTCTAGCTGTTGGATTTGACTCCGCGGGAAAATCATAAATCATTCTCTCACCTTTTCTCCGGTCCCCACAGAAACAGTAAAAGTTATCCCAGTTGTGGGGTGTGCTGGTGGACAGAACACGAGTAAGGTATTTACCTTGTTCTTCAGCTGGTATTATACTCAGGAAACTCCTACACTTTTCACCTAGAACACAAAGAGAATATATAGTCATAAGTAGGAGTAGCCAAGACAATTAGCGACTGACTTTCTAGCACCTTCAGTCAATGCTGGGTCATTCTGAACCAAGGATTGGGGGGAATATGGCAGATTGTTTTATTGTTGGTGTGCTGCCTCCCCACCCACCCCATGGGAGCATGATCTGATCCCATCCCCTCCCATCCCATCCCGGTGAGTCCGGGCTTGGCCATATGACTTTCTTTGGCCAGTGCATTGCCAGCTGCCATGGGATGGGTCACTTCTGCTTAGAAGCTGTAAGAGCCAATGGACTGCCCACTGGTTCACATTCCCTTGACGGATGGAGTCTCCATCCCTGAATGGTTGTGGGGAAGACTCACCCCTTGTCCACCTGAAAAATCCACACAGAATGAACTAGAAGCCAATTTGACTTAAACCACTGGGGACTTGGGGATTGTTCGTCACCGCGGCACAGTCCAGCCCATCTGGACTGATATTGCCAGCCTTAGACCCGGGATTCTCAACTTCCCCAACAGCATCCCCTATGTATGAGTCTCAGATAGTTTGTTTCCAGTTAGAGGGAAGGTAACAACATTGGTAATGATATTTAGAAGTGAGTTAAAGCAGGGCGCCTGGGTGGCTCAGTTCAGTTATTCGTCCCACTCTTGATTTCAGCACAGGTCACGATCCCAGGGTCTTGAGATCAAGCCCCGTGTTGGGTTCTGGGCTGAGCGTCGAGCCTGCTTGGGATTCTCTCCCTTCCTTTCCCTTTGCCCCTCCCCCTGCTTGTGCTCTCTCTAAAATAAATAAATCCTGAAAAGAACTAGAGCAGATTCATATCTGTTACTTAGTGACCTCGCTATTTGCATTCCATTGTACTTTCTGGAGTGTGGAAAGAGAGTGTGTGCACCAGAGACCAGAGAGAATCCTGCCCCCACCCCTCAGGCTTGCTTCATGTTCTGGAAGGTTGGGCTTTGTCTAGGAGTATTATCAGCCATGGCAGGTGTCCAGATGCCTGCACAATCACCTGCTTCTTCCTTGCAGAGTTGGAGTGGCTCCAAGGGTAAGTGACCAGAGGGTAAGTGACGGGTACAGGACAGCTTACGCAGAGGCAGTCTGAGCATTAGGACTCAGTCTGCAGGGACCCAGCCCGGGGCTGTCCCACTACAGCATGGATTTAATGCATTCCCGTGGACAGCAGGGAACACGCAGGGAGATGTGGAGAGACCTAAGACCCAGAGCTGCTCCTCGTCTGGGCCGCTAGGAACTAAAACAGGGCAACACAGGGCACCAATCATTAACTCTTCAAAGAATGGCTTTCTCATCCCTAAAACAGGTTCGGTAGTCCCTGCAGTAGCCTCGCTTTGAGGATTTAATGACATCATAGATGGGAAAGTTGCTCTCAGTTCCTACTCACTGCAATTCCGCTGCCATAAAATGAGTTCTGCTGGGCCCTTTTTGCACGTGACTAGCACACATCATGATGAATTATAATAGACCCTAAGTACTCTGAGGGTCAGGATCACATCACCTACCTTTGCTGGAAATGTTCAGGGACAGAAATAAGCTCAGGGGAGCATCTTTTGACTGTGGAAATTACTTCTCTTTTGTTGGAGAGAAAATGCCAGGTAACTCCCTTATTCAAGAACCTACAGCGGCTCCCTATTCCTCCAGCACTGAGTCAAAGTCTCTCTTCTTGTATGGCTAGCCTCCTCTCCCTATCCTCCCAACACAGAGCCCTTCTCTTGACTACACCTTCCACGGGGTCAGGCTCACTCGGGAAGGACCGGATGCAGGAGCAGTTCATACTCTTGACGGCGCCGGTCCAAAAGACGATAATCCTTAAGATTTGCCATACTTATCCTCATGAAACTCCAAGTTCCCTGGGGCCTCATTGCTTTGCCCATCAGCAGGGCTCCTCTACTGGGCTATCGGAGGAAGAGGAACGAAGCCTGGGTTTATGCTAGAGGACTTTATTTAGTTGAGCTGCCCCGCTGGGATACTTTCTGATGGACAGCCGTGCAGAAGGACTTCACCTGTCGCAGAACCATTCACAACAAGCGGCCTGGGGTTGGGGGTGGGGGAGGATATTTGCACAGCCTGGGGCTGAGGACGACAGCTTCGGGGACCCATCGGCTGATCTAAAGCCACTGTGACCTCTTCAGCCACTTTTTAATTAAGCCAGTTTTAATTCAGCCAGTTTTTAATTAAGTCAACTTGGCACTGAGGCAAGGAGTCCGTTTTTCTTGCAGATTCTCTGATGTGGGGGCAGCGGCTATGATGCAGTCACAGCGGTCAGAGATGCAAAAATTTGTCCGCATCCCCCTGGTTCTTCCAAAGAGGCCCCCCCAACTTTTGGGGGACATCTCTACTCCACGTGCTGCTTTCAGAGAAATATTGTATCGAAACCTCACATCTTCATCTGTGAAATGGGTGCTCCAATGAAAATGTGCAAGGATTCTGTGAAGTGCCTGACACTTCTCTTTTTTTTGGAGTGTTTTGTTATCCATAAGGGTGAGTACACATTGCCTTTGACAGATCTGGAGACCAGGCTCAGACAGGTTGGTAGAGTCAGAATCAGGAACTGTGTTCTCCCACCCAACGCTCATATTTTTCTGTATCACCACCTACTGTCTTTCTTTCTTTCTTTCTTTCTTTTTTCCCACCTGCTGTCTTTCTACATAATGCACGGAGCACTATTCATCTATGTGGCCTTCCCAATAGGCTTGCCCTTTGTCACAGGAATAAACAGGGGACCAGGTACAGAGCCAGGGGTGGGGCAAAGAGAAAGTGAGGGCCAGCCAAGAAGATTAGGGGAATTCACTGTAGCTCCGAAGGCTGAGGTCAGCCGGGGAAAGGAGTCAGGCCACAGTGACCCCTTGATTAATCTGAATCCCCAGAAATGGTGTTCTTTTTGAACGAGGCCAGCAGGATTAAAAGGAAAAATCTTCATAAATCCCACAAAAGCCAGAGAGGCGGGTGTTACATAGCTGGGCGGCGAGGGCTTCTCCAGCCAAGTGGGGCAACGAGCCAGCTTGGGACACAGCGGCCAGGTCCCCAGCGCTGGGTTCTCGCATCCCCGTCTGCTCGTCCTCCACTCCCGCCCCCCACGGGGTGCCTGGGCCCCTCCGTCCTTGACCTTTTGTGGGGTTTAGCAGAACAGTGAAGATCTGGAACCCAGCACATTTTGTTGACTCATTGCTTCGCCTAAGGAAAAGAGCACAGTGTAAGTGCCGTCCGGCCACGAGTTTTCATTTCAGACCCTGGAATCAGAGGCACAGCCCCCCCCTCCCCGCCCCGCCTTTGAAAGGCACTAGGGCGACAGGAGTGGGAATAGGAAGAGGTGGCTTGAGCCAGGGATGTCCGCAAATCACACTCCAGGCAAGGGCTCCCCTGGAGGGTCAGCTTTTGCAGGGACAGAGAGGAAGCTGATTTAGAAAGAAAATATCCAGGAGGCCTCACGGTGCTGCAGCGCTGGGGATGGTTGGGCTGCCCTGAGGTCGCTTTCCTCCCTTTTTTGGATCAAGGGCACCCTCTCCAGGCTGGAGTGCTTACTGGCAGATCTCCCGAGCAGTCTGAGCCATTTGGGTGCCTTCCCATTCACCTTAGCTATAATCCTTTTCTTTCATGTCCCCCCAATCTCCCAGGCACTTGTGATAAATTACACTTAAGAGCAGATGTTTGTGTGAAGTGAGCTTTAACTGGGGGCCCCAGGCCATATTCTGCTGCAGATGTGCTTTCCCGGGCCAATGCGATGTTTTCAAGATAAGTTTTTTTTTTTTAAAGATAATTTATTTGTTTGAGAGAGAGAGGAGAGATTGAGCAGCGGGGAGGGGCAGAGTGATAGATCTGAAGCGGACTCCCTGCTGAGCATGGAACCCCATGGGGGTCTCCATCCCATGACTACAAGATCATGACCTGAGCTGAAACCAAGAGTCCGGGGTTTAGCCGACTGAACCACCCAAGTGCCCCTTCAAGATATTATAAAATTGGGAGTTTTCACGTGAAAATCCAAATATCTTACTTCCCGTGAAAAATCAAAGGATCTGACAATACCGAGCGCTTAAGTCCACGAGGCCATAACGCTGAGCAGAGCCAGGGGCTGCCTCCTTTAGCTGGGGGTGAGGTTCAAGGTCATTGCCATTCCTTGCTGCCTTTGCTCCATTCGCTTCTGTTACCACCTTCTGTGGGCACTGGTTTTCGACCTGGGATGAATATCTTTTGTTTCGTTCTTTTGTAGGTTTGCTATGACTTTAGTTATTATTCAATAGAAACTTAATTCTAAGCTTTTTGATCTGAGGTCATCTTGTAACATGTGAAGGTGATCAAGTTTCTCTTGAGGGAGGGAAAAAAAAAAAGGTGTTCTGGAGAAGACGTCCTCTTCTTGGTTCTTAATAAAGTAATGACCATATTTAGAGACTGTGGTTTACCTGGTTTACCTAATTAGGTTTACCTAATATAATGAAGTTTACAACTTCATTATATTAGGAAACATATTAAAATGTGAGCAGAGGTTTTTTGGATTGATGGACACACATGCATTCAGTCACAATTATAAGACAATTGTCCTTCGGTTAAGTTTTGGGCTTTGGGTCGGGGAGGGGGGAAATAAGGAGTTTGGGTTAAGAAGTCTGACCTCTGTGTCTTGCTTTACTAGTATCTAACTGCTCAGTCTTCAAAGGGGGGCACTTCTGCCTCAAGAAGTCAGTTTTCCCACCTGTAAAAGGCACCTGTTGTTTTAGGTAAGCCTTTCACAAAGAACGTTCCTCCGAACAGTCTCTTTTTCCTGTGGTCGACTAACTTCAGGAAGCCCTGGGATATGTAATAAACAGTGAACAGTCTTCTTCATTGTGGTACCTCTTAGAAATTTTAACATGTTAACGTGCATTGTGAATTTTCAAGAAGAAAGTGTAATATGCAACATTTTCCAATTCATTTTGACAATCAAAACCCTTTTTATTTAATTTCACAAAAAGCATCTCAAAAGGCATCTCGGGGCGGGGCAGGGGGACATCCTCTTTGAGAAAACCCAACGAGGTGCTTGTTAAAGTCTCCTTCTGGCATGACATCAAATATATAAGATGTGCATAAACCAGAAAAGGGTCAAGAATGACTCTTTATTTCTACTTGGCTTGGTGCATGAATCACCGAGAGCCTCAAATGTATTTTAATTTAAATCTATTTAAATAAATCCAAAACTTAAATTGATTTAAATTTATAAATTTAAATTTAATTTAAATATATTTAAATATTTAAAAGCCTTTCAGGTGTGTGATCCATGAGAAGGCAGCGTGTGTGTGCATAGTAAACACTCAGCGGGTTGGCAGAAGCGCCAGTGAGATTCCTGGTCTCTCGAGGAAGAAGACCGAAAGACCCTCACGTAGCCGTTGGCCCCTGTTTTCGGTTGAGAAGGCTCCCCTCCCCCAACCTGGTAATAACTTTTTAGTGGAAAGCTCAGATACGATTTATATAATCTCTCTGCATAGTGTTTGTGTGAATGTGTCAGGCATGTGCTGTATGCTGGTAGATGGTTTGCACCTGCTTCCACTCCTGCCTGAAGCCCGATGCTTCAACATCATTTAAGAGATGAGGCTTCCAGTTCCTGCAAAGCCCAGCCTTCCCTTGAGCCCAGCCCTTGCAGAGTCCTTTCTCCCAGTTTGCTGGTCACTGGGGAAGCAGCTCCTAATGTCTAATCTTCTAATTCCTGCCCTCAGGTTCACGTTCTACTGTGGCCCAACTTACCCTAGCATTACAATTAGTGATGCTTCTAATTCTCTTCAGTTAGGTTTTTTTTTTCCAGCGAACATGGTCTTGCTCAGTTCCTTGTCCTGGAGTGACCGTGACCTTATGTTGCAGAGGAGGAGAAGCTGCCTCAGGTGGCACTGTAGAGCCACGTGAGTTAAATTCTTCCGTGAGGAGACCTCCCCTGCCACCCTGCTTTGTGTTCTAATGCAGATACCGGAAGTGTCCTGCCTCAGACCTTTGCTCATTCTGTCCTGTCTGCCTGGAATAGCCTCAGCCCTAATCTCCATCTATTAAAATCACAGTGCTGCTTGGAGGTCTGGGTGCAGTGGCCACTTCCTTTATGAAGACTTCACCATGCCCAGAGCTGTAAGGAACTTTTTCGTCCCTTCTATTCCCATATCATAGGTCAGTCTTTGTGAAAATTATTGTCCTATTTTTTCCTTGTTTTAGTTTCATCTCAGTTCTCACCACTGTGGCTCACTTGCCTTTCTCTCCCTCTGTTCTCCTAGCACATTCTTCCTGTGCTTAATAAGGAAATGGCTTTTAGCAAATTCATTCCATGCTGCTCCGAGTGCCCTTTTTCCAGAGGGCTTTGCTGTCCCCTGGGTCATGTTTCTCTGACTTTGGTGTGTGTCTTAATCACCAGGGGAGCTTATTAGAAATATAGATAACACCAGATGAAAAGGAGAGCCAAGGGGAATAAAAAGCGATGCTATGAGGATGAGAAAAGAAAAGGCAATTGGGAATTCTAGGAAAAACAAAAAGCTACCCAAGAAATTTAATGTAATGATAGCACCTCTTTGATTCCATGATGAACAATATTTATATACTCCAAATAAATGATTGGTTTGTTGATTTATCTAAAACAGCAATATCGTATATCAGGAAGAGGGCAGAATAGATGTGGGATGTGAGGGTACGAGAGATTTAGCCTCATCTATTATGACAGCAAGTCAATAAAGGAGCTCTAACATGAAGACAGCACATGTTTTTTGAAACATGGAAACAAATCCCAGAAGAAACAACTTAGCTAAAAGTGGTTTCCCTGATGGGCGGGACTAGGTTATAAAAAAGCCAGAAGGCAGCAGGGGTCTGTTGATTTTTCTTATAAGCATTTCAAAATGATTTTATCTTTTATCTATGTGTAAATATTACCTTGGTTAACATATTTTTTTAAAGGACTGTAGATTTCTAGACCCCCTCTAAGACCTACTGAATCAGAATCTCCAGGGGCTGGGCACCTGGGTGTGTATTAACTTCCTGGGCGATTGTCCTGCACAGCAAACATTTGATAACTGGTGTGATGTTTACACGCAGCTATGGACTGAAGTAGGCATTCCTCAGATGGGGACTTGGAAGGGGAGTGGAAGTCTCCAAGCAACTCGTCTATGGGATTGGTGACCATATTTTTCAAACTGAAAATCTGAGACTGCCTTTGCTGCCCTCCAGAATGCAAGACCCTAAGCCTTCCGTGCCTGTTTGTGGGGTAGAGAGAGCAGACTTATAGGAAGATAGCTGCATCCCCCAGAGGACAGGGCAGAGAGGGGTTTCTGGCAGCCTTAACTCAAGGCACTGTGGCAGGGTGTGCATCCCACTTAAAGCAAGGGCCATACACACTGACTGGGATATGAGGAAGGGTAAGACTTGGCATTGCCCTTCTGTGGCCCCCACTAAGGCAGGATGGAGAGGAATAAGCACCATATCAGAGGGTTCCTCCTTGGATCCTTTTACTCGGACCTCAAGCATAAACCACTAATGCTATGAGGGTTGGAAAAGGCCATTAGAAACTCCAGAGAAAGTAAAAAGCTGGTCAAGAAATTTGACACGTTAAGCCCAAGATCAAGAGACAAATGGGGAGGGGGGGCCTCTCCTTTCCACCTTGAGGGGTATGTTTTCCTAGCAGGAAGGGAAGAGAATCCTGGCCCCAAGCATGGGCTTGGGTTTATGGGCAGGATGCCTGACCCTGGGGAGTCCAAGTCCTCCTTCTTCAGTTCCTTGGGAGGTTTAAAAAAAAGAAAGAAAGAAAGAAAGAAAGAAATTTCCAATATATAGGAGCTCCAAACACCAAAACTTCCTCTCCCTCTTCTCTCTCGTCTATCCCCCTCCCCCATTTCCCTCCCACCCCTCTGCCAAACCCACAGAAGCTCAAAAGATCAGAGCTGCATCATGGGGTGAGAAAGGGGTCGGGCTTACCAGCCATGTGACCTGAAACTCAAAGCCTCAGTTTCCTCATTTGTGAGGTGAGGAAATGGTATCTACTCTGTGGGGTTATTTTGAGGGTTTCCAGAGACAAAGGTCTAACTTGTTAAGGATTCTCACCTCTGGTAGGTGCCCCACAGAGGGGGTCCCCTTCCTACCAATGATGACAAAAGTCAGTTTTCTAAGAGAACCTGCCATGCCAAGCCCCCCTTTGGAGTGCAAGGATGCAGTTTGGAGACGGACAGGGCCATCTGGGGTTCTCTAGGGATTGGGTGACAGTAGGGAAGGGTAAAAGTGAGTGTTTACCAACACACGGTTGCAAGACAGTGAATGCAGTCAGTTAATCTTTATAATAACTCTTGGTCACCAGTACCGCTCTCGTTCCCATTTGACAGCTGAGAAAGCAAGCTCAGAGAGGTGAAGAGGTTGCCCAAGGATCCAGAGGCACTCAGTGGCCACGCTGGGACTCAAAGCCAGGCGCCCTGCTCCAGAGCTCCTGCACCTGTCCCCAGCCCCGTCCCCCGCAGCTGTGCTCACCTGTGCTGCCAAGGTTCTCCTCGCAGGACTGCCAGAGCCCCACGTGGAACCTGCATTGGATGAACTTGTCGTCCCCCGTCTCCCAAATGTACTGGACAACCTGGCTCCCGGTGTTCCTCCTGCCATCGCTGTCGTGGCCCCCGCTGAAGTGACTGCAGTGTGGCCCGCCCGGCTGGTCCAGGCACAGAGGCTTTGCCACTTTCCGGGTCCCCTCGCACCAATAGCTGCTGCCCACGGCAATGAGGGAGAAGGCCAGGGCAAGGCAGGTGGGGAGGAGGGTCAGCACCTGCTGCTGTCTGGCCCCGACCATGGCTGGAGGAGGTGTGCGGCGTCAGGCTGAGCAGCGGGCCCCCTCCTGCCTCCGCAGGCTACCCGCCCCTCTCAGCCCTGCCATCTGGCACCCTTACGGGCTTTTCTCACATCCGCCGGGGGATCCTGGGTGCTCCCCCAGCATGTGGCCTCTGCATGTGCATCTGTGGCCTGAGAAGCCGCAGGAGAAAGCCCAGAGAGGGGACGGGTTCCCACGGACAGAGCTGGCCCTTCGGTCCTTCCCAGGGAACGGGTGTGCAGAAGGAGGCTGGCTCTCTGTTTTTGTCTTTTTCAACTTGGGGTAAAATATGCAGGAGACGAAACTGACCACGGTGACCATGTGTACCCTCACATGATTGCACATCCCACCTCCAGACCTCTTCACCTTGTGACACTGGAGCTCCGCCCCTGGGAACGCTTACTCCCCATCCCCCCCACCCCAGCCTGGGCACCTGCCTCTCTACTTCCTGTCCCTATGAAGGTGGCCGCTCCTGGGCCCTCCCATGAGTGGGGTCATGCAGTACTGTTTCTTTGCGACTGGCTTATTTCACTCAGGGTATTGTCCTCAAGGCTCGCCCGTGATGTAGCAGGTGGCAGAATTCCCTCCCTTTTCAGTGTTCAGTAGCATCTCATGCCGTGGACAGACACGTTGTGTGCATGCATTCACCAGTCCACAGACACTCAGGTTCCTCCCACCTTTTGGCTCTTGCGGAGGGTGCTGGTGCTCGACTGAAGACCAAGGGCATCTGGGCAGGTGTCTGGGTGAGTCTGCCCACCCTCACTTTTCGCTTTTATCAGGCTACTTACTCAGTGTCCGGTGCCCAAAATGGGGAATCCCACGGCCCGCACAGCCCGTTCCCTGCCCAGCCCTACGGACACAGGGACTGCCAAGGACAACGTCCTGTTTCTGGGACTGAGAGACTTGAGGTGCCGGCAGTCCGCTCCAGGGCCGAAGTGCTGGGGGGAGCAGGGGCGGGCGGCACCCACCCCACAGGACTCGGCATTCAGCACCGTCCTGGGGCCTCAAAAGCTGGCAAGCATAGCCCGTGGCACTCTCATTCCTGCCCTCACCAAGGGGCCCCTCTGGAAGTGGGGGACAGTCACTTCTCGGGCAGAGGACATTGATGCAAGAACGAGGGCGGGAGTGTCACGGAAAAGTCCAGTCTGAAAGGCGTCTAAATCACAAGTCCTAGATTGCAGCTGAGCTGAGGACCCCCCAGATACACCTGCAGACACTGGACTGGGCAGGTAGGAGAGAAGGGTGGTGCCATGTGGGTCCCTCTGACTCTCTACCTCCTGTTGGTGCAGGCAGAGGGCAATGTCCTGCGAACCCTGTGTTTGTGGGCTTGGCCATCTGTCTCATGGGAAGAGGATTTATCACATCTCATCACTAGATGGCATCTGTCCAACAGCAGGGAGGTCATGGGCAGCCCCAACCCCTCTCCCTTCCTTCAGAAAAAGAACGTTTTTGAGAATACATTCAAAGAGATTAGCTAGAATATTCTTACCGGGCAGGCATTTCCTTTGCCAGTGTGCAGCGTGGAAGACGCAGTCATTGTCGTGGGGCTCCAGAATGGCTTTCCGGTGGAAAGGAAAAGAATCGGAGCATTGTCGGGCACAATCTGTCCTGCTGTCCCGGAGATGACCACGCTGATTCCAGAGGTCGTACTATTGTTCCCGTCCGTTTGGGGGGTCTTTGTTCACTAGGAGCATTTTTCCACTAAGTTTTAAAATCTTGCCACGTGGCGGGGCAGGATCTTAAGATTGCCAAGGGCTTCTAGGAAATGATCCTTACTTGTTTTTCCGCAACCGTCCGGAATTCATTCACTCAGACAAGTCAGCCAAGAGGAGTTCCTCCGTCCGACTGGAATGGAGAGAAAAACAAAACTAGCCTAAATGAAAACAGGATCTTCTTGTCTCTAGCCCACCTGCATCTCAGCCAGGCAGGATGGCTTCCTCCCGGGTCCGGGTCCCAGGTCTGGAGGCTGGTAAACTTGTGCAGGGAGAGGTGGGGCGAGAAGGGCCGAGCCGAGGCCCCGCGAGGAGCTCGCTGGGGAAGAGGACCGTTCCGGGAGAGTTAAGGAAGATCAGCACCTGAGCAGGTAGCCATGTCGGGGGATGCTGGGTCTCCCAGCCTTGCCGTTCACGGCTGTGTGGCCATGAGCCAGCAACCTAACCTCTCTGTGCCTCACTTCCCCAGCCGTTGGGTGGAGCAGTCCTCACGCCCCGCACCTGCTTGTTGTGAGGAAGCGTGAAGCAGGTGGTCGGGGGCTGAAAGGTTCTGCACATGCGCACTTGCTGAGTCTGCGCAAATCATGGGGCGAGGGGTAGGGTGCATTTGGGTCAAGCCTCTGCCAGGTGGGCCGGGGGTGCAAGGGGGCAATCCGGAGGGCCGTCTGGCTTTCCCGCACGTCCCAGGCTCTTGGGTAGACGCGATCCTGAGTCCAAGCCGCTTTCTCCCTCCAAGTGTTTGCATAGACAGGCCCCCCCCCCCCCGAAGGAGACCCTGCCCTTGGGGGCCTTGGTAAAAAACGGGCCTCCCTCTCCAAGACGCCCACCGCACAGCTGGCTGGCAGCTCAGCGGCTGGAACCCGAGGCTCTGGCCCGCGGGCCTCGTGCCCTGAGCTGGGTTTTGGGAACAGAAGCCCTGGACGCCCAGGCCCTGGCTTTTCCTCCGGGGCGGGCCTCTGCTGAGGAAGTCCCTGGAGCGCAGCTGACTTGGGGCAAGGTCTGGGAAAAATCTCCCTGCCTTTGGGGTGGGGGGGGGGGTGGGGGGTGCTGGGGCGGGGGATGAGCCACCGCCGATGGGAAACCCGGGAGAATCATCGGTAGGTGGCTCTAGCCCCGTCCAGATGCTCTCCGCGCGGCGTGGAGAGGGTTTGTGCAAACATTTCCTCGCGCGGTGCCTGAAGGAATGCAGGAGGCCGCCGCCTGTGGTCCATCTTGGACTGTTCGAGAAACGCGCCCGCGCCTGTGAGGTCGCAGCTGGAGGAAGGTGAGGCCCGCGCCGGGCGAGGCAGCGCCCGGGAGAAGGAAAGCGGGACCCCCGCCCCGAGTCCACGCGCTGCCCATGGACACCCCTGCTGCTGCCCGGGGGGCCAGGCCTCCCCCTCCCTCCAGGAAGCGCTCTCCCCCGGCCCCTGCGAGGCCCGTGCTCGCCCTGCTGCTCCTGGTCTCCATCAAGCAAGTAAGAGCGGTTTATCATTTGAATTGTCCTGGTGTCTGCTAGTAGGGTCAGTTCTGCATCTTTTCGGATCCCAGAAGCAGTTTCGGGCTCTCGCGGGCAATTTGGGAAATATAAAACAGTATTGAGGCGGCAATGATTAACCATAAGCCTAATATTCAGAGGTCATCGCTGTTACTATTTTGGCATATTTCCTGCAAATCCTTTTTCTATGCGTGTTTCTGAGCAGCTGAAATTATGACGCAGAAATGTATCCTGGTTTTCCCCCCTTACACTATTTTGTAAGCATTTTCCAGGGTCATCATGAACTCTGTGCATAGCATTTAAACTGGTCCCAGATAGCCTCCTGTCTGCTTTTACAATTTTCTCAGGCCCGAGTATTTAAAGGTTGATGGACTGTGAGGGGGTTTTCTCTTCTTTCATTTCTCCTTTCCTTTCCTTCCTTTCTTCTTAGTATAAAAATATAGAATGATCGGGGCGCCTGCGTGGCTCAGTGGGCTAAGCTGCTGCCTTCTGCTCAGGTCATGATCCCAGGTCCTGGGTTCGAGCCCCACATCAGGCTTTCTGCTCAGCAGGGAGCCTGCTTCCTCCTCTCTCTCTGCCTGCCTCTCTGCCTACTTGTGATTTCTCTCTGTCAAATAAATAAATAAAATCTTAAAAAAAAAAACATGAAAAATATAGAATGATCATGGTTTAAAAAAGTGAACGTATAAAATTCAAAGAAGTGTAAATACCAACTACGAATCACTGTATTCCCACTGCCCAGTAATCACCCTCATTTGCCTTTGGGGGCTTATACTCTCAGACCTTTTTCTGCTATTTTTTTACCTATGCTTTTTCCCCCCCCTAACAAAAATAGGATCAGACTTAAACAGTATCGTGCTATCGGCAAGTGTCAGGTGCGTCCCTTGTATTAACTCATTTCGTGCCCCTCGATGGAGTCCCTCCTGTTAATCCCACTTACAGATGAAAACACTTTTTTGTGTTGGCTACAGTAACCCCAGGGTGTGATGTTTGAGGGCTTCAGGGTTGTGTCCTACAATGTGTGTGACCCAACCTACATGGTGGGCATTCTGACAGCTTGTTTTATTCTTTTTTTTTTTCATTAAAGGTTTTATTTATTTGTTTATTTGAGAGACAGCGAGCTCAAGCATGGGGAGGCAGAGGGAGGAGCAGACTCTCCACCGAGCAGGGATCCCAACTCAGGACTCAATCCCAGGACCCTGAGATCACCACCTGAGCCAAAGGCAGACGCTTCACCAACCAAGCCACCCAGGCACTTTCAGCTTGTTTTAATCTTATCCAGGGAGACTAGACTTTGGCCCCCTTTCCCATTGGAGGTTCCATTTTCATGCTGGACCCTAACATGAAGGAACCCCAGTCCCATTCACCCGAGAAATGCAGGTAATGAAAGTGGCTTGAGGAAGGGTTCTCTTTCTCCTTTGGTCCATGGGTGGAGTTCATCTCTGTGTGTGTAGACATTGGGATTCCAAATCCCTCCTGCCCCCATCTAGGGAGAGCCGTGGTGCCATGATGCTGTAAATATTCACCTCATCAAGCTTTCTTTGGTGCCAACTTGGAACCAGACAGGCAGACAACACCTGCCAAGTTCTCTGCGTCTGATCTCTTCCAGAGGCTGCCTTCAAGCCCTCACAGACTGAGGATGTGAGCCCGATGGGTGGTTTTGTGGAATCCCTGCGGTGGTGGCAGCCTCTGGGTGAGCCACTAGCCCAGAGGCAAGCCCTGGGTTCTCTCTTCCCCAGCATGCCGTGGCAGCTGTGGACGTATGACTATGTGTATGTTACACCAGCAAAATC